TGTCTGGGTCCTTTTCCATTACAGCACCTTAAGAACCTGAACCACTTTTTGTGATTTTTAAGTATTTGTTTTGTTTTGTTTTTGAGACAAGAAAGATCTCGATATGCAGTCTCAAACTCATGGTAAGCTTAAGCGATCCTCCTATGTAGCTCTAGGTGGCTCAGGCCTCTTTATTCCAGGACCTGGGGGGCAGAGGCAAGATGACTTGTATAAATTTGAGGCTAATCTGAGCTACACAGTGAATTCCAGGATTCTGCCCCCCCCATTATTAATTTTAAAGTATCTGAAATACACAAGGGACAAAGCACATATAAACACACACACACACAGCACAATATACAATGAATAAAATAACATCATGGACATATCCATTAAGCATTGGAGAAAATATTAAACTTTTAACAAATAGCTTTTCTTTTCACATAGCTTTACAAAGGCCATTCCAATACAAAATAAGAGACAGGGAGGGAATGGGAAGAGAGCTCAGTGCTTGTAACAGCACTTGTTGCTCTTGCAGAGGACTCTGGCTTCCTTCTCAGCAGTCACACAGTTACTCACAACCATGTGTTCTCGAGATCCAAGGCCCTCTTCTCATCTCTATGGACACCAGGAACACACATGGTATACATGCATATATACAGGCAAAACATTCACATACATAAAATAGAATAAATCTAAAGAAAAGACAAAACATTTTTACTAAGATCCTACAGTCTATCCTGTTAAAATGCTTTCCCCCAAATAAGTTAACTGCTTTTCTTAATACTCTGCTCCTTTAAAAGTACACTAATTATTTTTATTTTCTAATAGTAGATTCACTGGTAGTTGTCAAACATTTTTATATCCTGAAGGGTTTTTGCATTTTTATACACCCCAAAATGGCATCAAGACCTTTTTACAGAAATTCCCAACAGGTAGTGCCATCCTGGGATCAAAAAAAACAAACACCATAGCAAGCTAGACCTGGTAACAAATGTACCAGAGCAACATATTCCAAACCAAAGTTAAGGAATTCAACCAATGTTTGCTTCCTTACATCAGATGCGTGTGTTTTGTTTTTGTTTTATTTTTATAGAAACATTCTCACTACACTTTGTAGACAAAGCTAGCTTTGACCTCACAAAGATTCACCTGCTTCTGCTTCCCAAATACTGTAGGCATGCTCCACCACACCCAGCATGAAGGCACTTAAAAAGCAAAAAAACCATTTACTACTCTTATATTCACATATGGATGCCTAGATGAGTTTATGTGCACCACATTCATCTAAGAGCTGGCAGAGGCCAAAAGAAAGTGTTGGATTCCTTGGAACTACACTTAAGGGCAGTTGTGAATCCCTGTTCCAGTACTGAGAACCAAACCTGGTCTTTTGCAAGACCAGTAAGTACCCTTAACGGAGCTGAAAATATTTTTAAATATATAGCCTTACATACAATGTGTGAGTTTTATAGCTTCTTAAAAGTAAACAGGGCAGAAATATAACTCAGTAAATACACTTGCTTCAAAAGACTGCAGACCTGACTCTGATTCCAAACTATGCAAAGATGGAGGGAGACCAACTTCACAAAGTTGTCCTGAGACTTCCATATGTATACCATGAAGGCACATCCTCCCAGACACAAAAATGAATTTTTAATTAAAATAATAAATACTACCAAAAACTCTTTGCAATCAAGTTGCAAAATCTCAATTTCTCCTCCTAGTCTGGAGAGTCCTAAACATTACACAAGTCGTAAATTCAACTGGATTAAAATCTCTAGAACAACAGAGACAACATATCATTCATCTTAAGTGTTATCCATGTTGTAGTAATGAAACATGCAAACTAAAGTAATGAAACTCAAAACAAACAAACAAACAAACAGGCAGAATGGGGGGCTTCAAATTATTCATCTCAACATACAACTGGAAAAAAAGACACTATTTCTCAAGAATGAGAATATAAAGATGTTGCAAAACAAGTCAAAGATGTTTCTGCTACATTGCATACCCTTATCAAATATAACTCACAATTGTTTACTATACATTTAGACAATAAAAATTCTCTTTTTCTATTTTGGTTTTTTTGAGAGCATCTCACTCTATAGCCCATGCTGGCCTAGAACTCACTATGTAGTCCAGATTGGCCTTGAATTTGTAATAATCTTTCTGCATAGGCTTTTCTAAATGCTCTAATGAATCCCCATGCCTGTCAATTTTAAATTTACTGTGCCTGGCTAATTTAAAGGCATGATCCTAAAGTTTTCCTGGTGACACATTCAAGTACTATCACAACCTTCACCTTCAAACTTACACTGACATCTCTACTCCAAAACAAAATTTAAGGGGAAAGTGGGTATCTCAAACAAGACTTGAATAAAAATTGGTTCTATCTCATTACAACCTAAATTCCGGAAAGTATATACATACTAGCTGGATGAGGTGGTTCATGCCTTTAATCCCAGCACTCAGGAGGCAGACAGGCAGAACTCTGTGAGTTTGAGGCCAGTCTGGTCTATACTTCAAGTTCCAGGATAGTCAGGACTACATAGTAAGATTCAGACTCAGAAAAACCAAAGTATATTCATAATTCACATGATTGTACTTATGCTTATTTTTTAATGTAGGGTCTCTATTTCTTCTCAGGAATATACATACATAGATACATACATACATACATACATACATACATACATACATACATACGCTCAAGCACCACTAATCTAGACTAGTAAGAGTTGAGTTAGTTCAAAGATTCCTCAAATTCACAGAGGAATATTAATACAAAATTAGCCTTTCGAAGAATTCCTACAGTCCAGCCAAGAAGTTCCAATATCCAAAGGCACACATATCAATAATTCACAGATCCCAAAAACAGTTTACTCATAAATGCCAAAAGAAATTGCCAAAGGAGCCAGACAAGTTGGCTCATGTCTGTAATCCCAGAAGGCTGTGGCAGGAAGATTACAATCCTCAAATTTGAGGACAGCCTGTGCCACATAAGGAATTCTGGGCCAGTTTAAGCTCTGTAGATTTAGACCCTGTTTCAAAAACACAACCAAAGGAAAATGTTAAAGAAAGTAAACTCTATTACAACACATCACCCTGCTGGATGATCTTACTCCTGTGTCCTTCTACATTAAAGTGGGCAACCTAAACTACTCCTAAATTAAAAAGGCTTTTTAATCTTTTAAAAGATGTGTGTGAAATAAAATAGGCTTTTAAATTTTTAAAAAGAGGTGTGTGTGTACATCAGGGATCAGCAGAGGCCAGAAGAGGGTGCCAGTGTCCTGCAGGTGGAGTTATAGGCAGTTATAAGCCACCTGAAGCGGTGCTGGGAACTGAACTTGGGCCCTCTCTAAGAGCAGTATACGATCTTAACCACTGAGCCATCTCTCCAGCCTCTTATTTTGTTTTCTAAGATAAGGTCACCTGTATCCCAAGCTGACTGTAAACTTATGAAGCATAGGCTGGGCTTGAACTCAAGATCCTCCTGCCTCAGCTTCCAGAATGCTGGAATTACAGTATGAGCCACCATACTCAGTCTGAATAGGCTTTTAAATAAAGTTTCATGGTTTCAATTCCACACTGATTTATTCGTTCTCTCAATATGCTAACAACTCCCCTCGTATGCACCCCAAGCTATTTTAACAGTTAATCAACAAATCGTGATTATTCTTATCCCAAGACAGGGATCAATTATTAAGTATCCAATCATTTTTGTTGTTGTTGTTAAATGACTCAAACAAGATCCTTTCTCTTGTAAATATAAAGCTAAACTGCCCAGATGGGAGTATGGTTCAGTGGTAGAATGCTTGCTGGAAGCTTTAATGCCTTGGGTTTAATCACCCAGATGCATCGCTCCCCCCCAAAAAAAAACCGAACCAGCAACAAACAAAGCTACCCAGATACAAATTAGGCTGTGGAAGCATTTCAGTTATCAAACATACACACTATAAACTGTCAGAAATGCTCTGCTTGCTCTGTTAACACAAAACAGTTAAAATACCTATCTCATATATGTCAGACAGGCAAGGACAGTGTATATTCCATACATGTTTGACATTTTATGCTCTCATAAGCATAATCCAACCATATGCCTCCTTTCCAAATACACTTGAATTTGCCAATAACAATCTCGATATGTATAATACATTACTAAGTTAGTAAACAAAATATCGTGTAGTCCCAACTTTGCCACTAATTTAATATGTGACCTTGGAAAAGTACCTCTTCATTTTCAGAGTTTCAGGATTACAGAAAACTGAAAGTGTTCTGCATATAAAAACCTTATGCTAACATAAGCACCACTATAAATCCACACGGCCTTATTCTCAGCCTGATTACTCTGAGGATGATGTTCTGGGCTTTCATATATATACAACTGACTATTCAAAGGTACAAACTTTGTCAAGTTTCTTCCCTCCCTGACCCTAGCCAGCATGCTGTATTATCTACTATGCTAAAATACATGTGCACTAATCGACCTGGAGGACACATCCCAACATTTGTTTTAAAACAAGCTAACTCACAAAGGGAACTCCATTACACTTCCACAAATGCAGGCAAAACTCCTGAGCACTTTTCATCTTTGCATATACACACATAAACACAGCAGCTATAAACCAACGGACCATCTGGTCTTCAAGACCCAAAACACTTCTTTCCAAGTACAAACTAACCAGTGACATTTACTAAACTTATTAACACTCAGATCACTTATGTCGTGTCTGCATATAGTTCCGCCTCTAGAGAACACCACAGAGTTTGTTACACAGGTAAACCACCGTCTGAAGATCGCCTCCCTTGCCTCTTCTGTCCCTTATTTAAACAGACATAAACTGGATCTTGGCAGATGCTCCAATCAGGCCTACTACACGAAACTAACCTGTCAGGGGCACAGCCGACTCCGCCTCCACCCGCTTACTTTCCCGTCCCCCTCCCCCAAACCAGGAGCCCGCCGGTCAGGGACACCCCGTTACCCCGCCTAGAAGGACTTCCCGGTAAGCTCAGGATCCCTCTCCCTCCTCTCCCCTCCCCCATCCTCACCCCGCTCTCCCGGAGGTCCAGGTCCGGGAGGTGACAGTGGATCACGGGAAGCCAAGGAGAGAGTACTTGGGCCTTCAAAGGCCTGCTCACACCGCACTACTCACCGTGTGAGGCCGAGAGCGCCGAGTGCAGGCAAGTGGGGAGAGGGGGTGGCAGCCGCCTGGCGCCTCGGCTTCTCTGGGTCCACACCGTAACCCTCCCGCTTGTCAGGAGGCGGCCAGCGGGTAAGCGGACCGGCGGAAACGCGAGAGGAGAAGCCAAAGGCGTAGGTCGGCAAGGGGAAACCGAGGGAGGGAAGGCGGGTCCGGCAACCGAGA